GTGTGCCCAGTCTTTCTCGCTACACTGAGCAACCCGTCGACTGTAGCTCGTTCTATCGCTGATACAGCGGCACCCATCCCGTCCAGACCGCAGTCTGCCTGACTCACCGGTCAGCCGTGGCCACAACAAGGATCCTGCTTCTTGAGCAGCCTGCTTTCTTAGCAGCCGGGATGTCTCCACCTTCTCTCGTCCGCAGCGTCCGTGCAGTATCACGTCGGGGTCACCACAATGCAGCGGCCAGGTGGAGGGGAGCAAGAACACCGACACGATGTAGGTAAAGCAGAACTCCTTTTATTGAAGCTTGCATAACTCCGTTTACTAAAGCTGCTATGGTTACATTTATGCTTGTTTTACTTCCGTACACGCGTTCACGCATAAGCTTATTGGCTACATCACCTTGTCCACGCGCAAGACATGCGAACAAGGGGTTCTCCTCATTGGTTACCGATATTGGCGTCATTAATGCTCTGCGGCTACAAGTTCCTGTTTTCACTACCCAACCCTGTACCCTGTTTTTCTCCTTTTGTCCTTTGTGGTCAGACATGACCTTCACAGCTTATACACGACTATATACACTTTCAATTGTTCTCAATCCCCGGCCTCCTACATCTCCCCCTCTTTTTTCAAATAGCGTGTCCATCACCTTATATATTTGTGACAACAGGCATTGTAATAAGCAAGGCCCACAGCAAAGGCAAAGCAATATAATGATAAAAGGACCGGCTAAAGCTATGAGTATATTGCGCAGCCAGTTTCCTATGCCCCAAGAACGTAGCCATCCATCAAAAGGATTGCTGTTGATTAGCAAATCATGCATGCCGTCTTGTAACTTTTGCAATTTCTTGTGTATTGATTCGGAATGGTCAGATAGGTTAAAACAACACATGCCTTCAAATTCTGCACACCCGTGTCCATGTGCTAAAAGCAAAAAGTCAATAGCTGCTCGATTCTGTAATACTGCATGCCTCACAGAATCAACATCAAGAGTAAGCTACCCTATGATGTCAGAAGTAATATTGACTTGCTTCCCAGCCCAACATGCTAACCGTGTTATCTGCCTCAACGCATGAGCTGCAGAAACATGAGGAGCAAAGATAGAAGCCAAGATTTGGATGGGGGAATTCCACAAAAGCAAGTGAGAGTTGCAGTTTTGATCCAGCATGGTTATACTCCTTTTGTGTCTTTTGGGTGATCTGGTAACATTTTGTAAGTCTTTTAGTTGCGGGGAAAACAAAGTTAATTTGCCTAACCAACAGGGGCCTCCCCATGGGTTAGCAGGAATGCCGTTCCAGGCCCTGTCCCCGCAGACTAAAAACACAGCAGGGGGTAAGCGACGTGGGGATTTGTTAAGCTTAGAGATAAAGTCTACTCCGTTTATGCAATAGGGGCTTCCTATGCTGTAATTGTAGATCTCAACATTAGAGGGGGTTACTATCACACTGTTATTAAGCGGGCGCTTGTGTTCTGGATTATTATAATGGTCTCCGAATACAACACAATAATTCCCTGGCTTAGAGCCCAACAGTTCTAACTCTTGTGGTTCCAAACCAGCACGATTTAGATTTATCACTATTTTACGTGTCCACAGTGCAAGACCCCATTGGTATAAGGCTAAACCATTTCCGTTTCTTAATTTAATCTGTATCTGACACCATGTCTTATTTCCCCATGTGCTCTTGTTATTGCTAAGGCTTGCTGCAAAATTGCAATGTTGAAGTATGAATTGGCTTTCATTGCGGGGCATGGGAACCTCGGGACTTATCCATCCTCGCATCACTAAAAGGTCGTTGTATGACTGAAAGGGTACACCCAATAGACAAGTGCGAAATGGGTCAGAAGGTGTGGCCAAAGATAGGCAGAAAGATGTTAAATTAGTCTGGTTAGCCCATGTAATCCACATGTTCTGCCTTTGGTCAATTTTCGTTAGCCAAGAGGCGACGCCAGAAGCGAGCAACACGAGCAATGCTATAATACCCTTCATGTCTAACAAGCTGTTGAACTGCTTCTGCTAACGCTTTGTCAGGGCTTCCTTTGAAGGGCCCTACTGATGTAAAAAATCTAAGGGGTACTTTTCGACTGCACCGCGCTTGAAGTATGTGTGTTTTCTCTTGACTTTCTAGGCGGTGTATTTCCAGCTCTAATGCCCACCTACAATATGCTAATATTTTCTGTTCTAGTGATTCGAAGTGTAATTGCCGCTGTTGAATTCGGAAAAGCTCTTGCTCCCACGTTTTAGCTTGATATTTATATTCACACCTTGGACACCATTTCCTATGGACTAATGTCTGATTCCACCAAATTTTGTGATTACAACCCCCACACTTTAGAGCAACCCAGGAAAAACAGAGCTCACTTTGGCATACCAGACAAGGCTGTTCATCCCACCCTTTGCGAACAGTCACCGCTAGTAAGTCAAGAATGCACAAACAATTATGCACTGACGGTTCTTGGTGGTAATACCATCCACTGGCCTCCTTCGCCACTATCGAGCGCAGCAGTCTTTGTTGTACTAAGGCAACCTTTTGTTGTATTCGCTGTCGTGATGTTTCGTCAAGCTGTCGGATCGCTTCTTGTATCGCTATCCCCGGCGGCTGCTGCATCCACTTTGGAGAGCCAGGGCTTTACCCACCGAGCCGGTATCCACCGAGGCTGTTCTTGTCCTGTGGATACACAAGCATAACCCCGACCCCAGGTTAGTAACGTATCGGGTACAGGTCTCCATTGTTGGCTCCGAGGGTCCCACGTTTGTACGGGGACGTGCAGCACTGGATTTTCTTTAGAAAAATGTATGTCCGTGGGTATCACGTAACGGTTGTCGTGAAGCTGTACTGGATTTTTCCAATTCAGTACATAACAGGCTTTCATCAGTCTATCCTGTGGAGAGAGCAGCAGCTCCCCCTCTTTTTTCAAAACACGGAGTAAACGCTTAATGTCCTGGTGCCACGTTCTACGATACTCTGACCCGTGCTATTATAGGGCACTCCAGTGATGTGCTTGACTCCCCAAAGTTGTAAAAATGAGGCGGCCCATCGTCCTGTATAGCTGGGACCATTGTCGGTTTTAATGGTACTGGGGAGTCCAAGGGCCGCGAAAGCTTGTAACCAGTGGTATTTCACAGCGCGAAAGGCAGTAGTCGTAGCGGCCGTAGCCCAAACAGCGTGACTAAACGTGTCCACTGACACATGAATGTAGCGGAAGCGTCCAAAAGGAGCAAATTCAGTAATATCAGTCTGCCAGACACCTCGAGCCCCTAAGCCACGAGGGTTCACCCCCCCGGTTTGGAGGGGCAGGATACGAGCGCAGTCCGGGCAGGCAGCGACAATAGCACGCGCTTGGGCCCGAGGGATGCCAAATTCCATTTGCAGACCCCGGGCAGACTGGTGGTAAAAGGCATGCGCCTGCTGGGTAGCAGAAAAACCGCGGAGGACCAGTCCACTGGCTACAGTTGCATCTATGGCAGCGTTGCCTTCTGCAAAGATGCCAGGGAGTGTTGTATGACTGCGCATGTGGGTACACCAGAGGGGGTCGGCCCTTTCAAGAATTAACCCATGTAAAGAAACAAGTAACATAGCAATTAAAGGGTTACTGGTTTTTCCAAGCTTAGCATAATCTATGCGATTAACTAATCTCACAACATATACTGAGTCAGAAATGATATTGAGGGCTTGTTTGGGATGATCGCGCAGGGCGTAAACCACAGCTTTCAGCTCCAAAACCTGTACAGAGCAAATATCGTTCTCCGCTCACACTTTAGTATTCCATTTCCCATTCATTTTCCAAGCATACCCAAATTTGTGTGAACGACCGCTTGCATCCGTAAAGACGGTAAGAGCATGGGGGATAGGTTTTGAAACAACCAAAGGGCCTCGTGCGATAACAGACGTGGTCTTAAATAAAGGATGGGCAGGATAATTAGTACTGAGTGGGATACCAGCTGTAGCTAAGGCAAAAGAGTAACTTTGTTGTGACCATTCATGCACCAATTGTGTGGTTTTCCAGGGGACGATAAATGAATCAGGGTCTTTACCAAAGACGAGACGCACCCTCTCTTTAGCTTTCAGCAATAACAGGCCCACATATTCTTGGGGAGTCAGTATGGTAGTAGGGGGCAAAAAAGAGGGAAATACCCATTCCAAAATGGTTAGACTCTTTTCTTGAATTTGAGCAATGAGGGCTGACCTGCTAGAAAAGGAACCGTAGATTATAACACAAATAGGATAAGAGGGGTTATAGCGGTAAGCTTGTTGTTGGTCTATTTTTTGTTCGATTATTGTGAGCGCTTGCTGCGCTTTTGGAGTTAATGTTTTAGGTTCCCATGGTTCTTGGGAACCACTCAGTAAGGAAAAAAGAGGGGCTAAATCTTCATTTGTAATACCACACCATGTTCTAATCCATTGTATATCTCCAACTAGCTTTTGAACATCATTTATAGTAGAAACTGAACGTTGTAACTGCAATTTTCCTGGTCGAACTCGCGTCTCGGTTACAAGCATTCTTAAATATTGCCATGGGGGTCGTCGTTGAACTTTTTCGGGGGCGATAGCGAGTCCGAATTGCTGTAGTCTAGAAATAAAATTTCTTTCAGCTTCTTCTGGTATGGCATTAGGAGACGCGATTAAAATGTCATCCATGTAATGATATGTAATGTAGTCAGAGTGTTCTTTTACCCAGGCATCTAAGGCTAAATCTACATACCATTGACAAATCGTAGGACTATTTCGCATTCCTTGTGGCAAGACAACCCATTCATATCGTTTTGAGGGTCTCCCAGCATTTTTCTGGGGGACTGTAAATGCAAATCTTTCAGAATCTTCAGGATGCAATGGAATAGAGAAAAAACAATCTTTCAAATCTATAATTAACAGTTGCCAATGTTGTGGCAACGCAGCTGGGGAAGGGAGGCTAGGTTGTAAAGTTCCCATAGGCTTCATTATGGCGTTAACAGCCCTGAGGTCATGTAATAAACGCCACCTCCCAGATTTTTTCTTGATAGTAAAAATAGGGGTATTCCATTCACTGACAGAGGGCTTAATATGTCCCAGCTCTAATTGCTCTGCAACCAGAGCTTCTATGGCCTGCAACTTTTCGTCTGACAAAGGCCATTGAGGCACCCATACAGGATTGTCAGATATCCATTGAATTTTTAATATGGGTGGCCTCTGTTCCTCAATGGCCACTACTGTAAATTTTGAGTACTCAGCATCATGTTCCATTGACTCATAGCATCCCTGCCCAGGATCCAAAGAGGGGTATGCATAACATAAGGTTTTACCCAAGCCTTTCGGCTTTCTACCTCATCCTTAAAACAGACGAACTCTTGACTTTGCATAGACTTCGAATCTCCTCCAACCCCACTAACTGTGATGGCTACAGGTTTGAGTGGCCAGTGCGATGGCCAATAGTTAAAGGGTATAATAGTAACATCAGCTCCAGTATCAAGCATCATTTTAACAGGTGTAGGATGAAGAGGTTCTTCCCGTAGGCTAATGGTGACAGAACGTGTCGGTCGTTCCTCAGTAAGCACGGTGGTAAAGAAAACCGTGGGCTCGGACGTCTTACCGGTACTGCGAAGCCCTTGGTCCCCTGACATGTGAGCTTTAAAAGGGATCAATTGAGCAATTTTGCTTCCTTTATGGAGAGTGACAGGGGGCGCAAACACTTGGACCATAATTTTAATGGGACCAGTATAATCAGTCTCGATTACACTAGGGAGTACGAATATTCCCTGTCTGCTTGCTGAGGAGCGACCCAGGAGTAATGCACTTAACCCATTTCCAAGAGGTCCTGACACAGTGGAATCAAGCAATGTTACAGAAGAATCAGATACAGTTACTGTTCTTGCCAGGGCCAGATCGATTCCCGCTCCTCCTGCAGTAGTTGCGGTGGGTTTATGGAGGCAGTCAGCGGGTCTGTCACTGGAGTGGATTGGCCCATGGCCGCTACCAGAGGCCGGACTGTTGGGTACTTTGCAGCCGCGCCCAACCCGCGGCGTTGGGAGTTTACCGACAAAGGGGTTCCATCTCTCTTAAAACGGGACCTATATTCTGTAGCTTTGTGTCCCAACTTATCACATCGGCGACAAACAATATTCCTTTCTGTTCCTTCCTCCTTTCCTGTTTTTTGCTTTCCCTTTTTTGGGCAGTCACGCTTAAGATGTCCCAACTGACCGCAGGTAAAGCATCCTCCGGGGCCCCTATCACCGGCCCCAAGTCCGCTTTGTTTTAAAGCGGCGGCAAGAGCGACTGCATGTATGTTAGCGCGCTGCTTTTCTTCTTCTCAAGGTGCGCGCGAACAGCGATCGATCATCTGTACTAAGGTGGAGCCCTGCGGAAGCGACTGCAACAAACGTTTACAAGTACGATTCGCATTTTGGGATGCAACTTCCTTAAGTAATGTTGTTTTAATGGTTGCATCGATATCGGGCGCAACGTCAATCGCCTCACGAATCCTGTCAACAAAGCCTAAAAAGGATTCGTTTTCTCCCTGCCGTATCTGAAGATAGGGAGGTTTCGGTTTCCCTATCTGCGGCAGGGCGTGAAAAGCTTCCAAAGCAGCAGCCTTAGCTTGCCCTAAAATTCTAGGGTGCAAAGCTGCCTGGCGTTGCGGATCTCTAAACTGACCGGACCCCATCATCATCTCCAGCGTGGCTACCTTTAGGGGGTCATCATCATGTAAATTAAGGTTCTGCAGCTGATATGCCTCCACGCGCTCTTGCCATTTCACCAAAAAAACCGTATAAGCGGTAGCCCCAAGCAAAATTTCCATGATTAACCTTATATCGGCAGGAGTAAGTTCATGATACTTTAAATAGGTACTCAATTGTCGCCTTACAGCGGAATTGTTGGGTCCGTAGGCTAGAACGCTTTGCTGTAATTTAGAAATCATTGTCCAGTCTAAGGGAACCCACTCCCTACGACCATTACCATCAGGCCGGACGTGTACTGGGGCCGCAATAATGGGTTCAAAGACTACGGTCCCCTGTAAATCTGCCTGGCTTAATATACCCCTCCAGCGCTTGGTCGGATCAAAGGAATCATCTCGCGGAGGGCCCCGTGCTCCATCTGGCCCACGCCTATCAAAAGGGTCTGGCCCGCGCCTCTCAAAAGGCAGTCTCCTACGGACGTCTATATCTTCTCTGCCTCCGTCTAATGCCCTTCGCAGTTGTTCTTTTTCTCCCGTAGTAAGCCCCTCTGGTGCTCCTAGAAGCTGCCGTATCAACTGCTGCCCTTCCTCTATCGTCAATTGGCGCTGCAGGATGGCTTGTTTGATTCCCTCTCTGCCTCCCCATGCAACCGCCTCCTGCTTATTAAGCTGCTCCTCTATATTTTGTATCCCTTGTTGTACTGCTTTGGCTGCTTTCTCATATAACTCCCGCAGTTTACCCTTCCCCCCTTTAGAGTCTATTTCTTGCATTGCCCCCAGCAACTTAGCCATCTGCTCTCGTTGTAACCGCAGCTCGTCGACAAGAGGATTCTGGGGGGACGCCTTTGCCTCCTCCGGTAACGGTATTGTAGCTGGATCAACCTCCATAGCCTCCGGGGGAGGGGGCGCAGAAGGCGCAGCAGCCGCCCCAGCAGAGGTCTCGCTAGGATTCCAAGGGGGGATGAGATCCTCAAACTCCCCCCGGAACATAGGCGCTGCTATTGGGGGGTACGATGGGGGAAGATCAGGTTTTGCCTCCCAGTCTATCAACGTCGAACAACTGTCCTTTCCCTNGGAATGGGACAACAGTGGGATCCATGCATGGAATTCCCATGGGAGTTGGATGACTCAGATTCATCCACAGAATTCCATGGGAACTCCCGTCTTCCTTAGTTCCACCCTCCCAAATCCCACCCTCCCAAATCCCACATTCCCATGGGAATTCTGTCTCCCTCACCTTTGCGCTCCAGCGCCTCCCGCCCATATCCAACGTATTTCTGGAGCCATTCCGGACAGATGTTCCCCAGGTAATTTGTCCATCTCTCCACCTCGATCCCATCGTGTTCCCATTTCCTCTTGGTGATCTGGGCAGCTCCATCGGCCGCCACGAAGCTCCCGGATCCCGGCTCAAAGGAGATGAAATCCCGCCCGTCGATGCCGTACCGATAGGATCCACGGACGCTCCCGTCGGACAGGAGGTCACAGCCAGCAACCCGTTGCCACGTGTGGAGACCTGGGGGGTGGGATCGGATCCATGGAGACCCTGGAATTGTGTCCCAGCCCCACAGGGCCCCATTCCAGCCCTGTGGAGCCCCAGAGTCCGATGGAAACACACAGAGTCTCATCCCAGCCCCTTGGAGTGCCCTGGATCCCCATCCCAGCCCCACACATCCCATTCCATCCCCCCATTCCCCGGCTCCCCCCACTCACCCCCACTCCAGTTGTACCGGCCCCCCACTGTCTCCAGGTCGGTGGCAGCAATGAACCGGTTCCCCTCAGCAATCTGGGTCTGTCCATCCCAATATCCCGGCTCGGCTCCGGCCGCCATCCACGGCGTCAGCGGCTCCGTCCGGCCCCGCTCGCTGTCGTAGCGGCTGATGGGGATCCCGTCCACGTATCCCAAGGCCATGAATTGAGGGATCCCCAGGCTGGGCTCCGTCACCGCCACATGCAGGTAACGCAGGGAGTGGAGAACTGGGGGGACACAGAGATTTGGGGGGTCTGGGGGTGTCCATGGGTCAAGGAAAGGGGGAACTGGGAGAGCCGGGAAGGGGGTTTGGGGATCCCAGAGCCAAGGAAAGGAGGGTGTAGGGACTGGGAGAGGGGG